CGTGAATAGTGGTGTTGTCCGTTTGTAAGGGTTTTCCAAATAGAGATCCTAACCTATGGAGGATTCTTGGTGAAAATAAGTGAGGTCGTTGATCAGGAAAAGAGATCCAAACCGGTACGATGGGTCCTCATGAATGTCAAACGTAGGAGACCATTTCATAAGTTTCATATATATAATAATTATACATAAAGTAAGATCGATAAGCAAAAAACTCTACTATAGTCCAAGTCGTTAGATAGTTTTATAAGCACATGATGAGCATCAAGCAAAGTAACAGAAAAATCACCAGAAAGTTTGAGATTGAAAAATAAATTTCTAATGAAATCCAATTTAGGATGCTTATTATAGAATTTACCAACCAAAGAAAAGGCAAAAGGAGCCGCCAATGCAAAAATTTCTTCCTCGAATATCCACAAGCCCTTAAAACCACAATGTGTAGTTTCCTTGAGTCAGGCCGCAGCAGGTGAGGGTTCTTCTAGCGGCTCTGTAGAGTATTCTGAGTACCGCATCTGGTCGCAATCCATAGGAGGAATGCAACATGATAGGGTTTATGGTTTAGGTTCGCATGGTCAGGCATACAAGGGGATGACCTCTATTGGATCAAGCTTCGCAACAAGTTCACATGAGTCCTTACATAGTCAACAGATAACTTCTCATCAAGCTGAGCTAGAACAAGTAAGGAAATCACAAGTTGATTGGCAAGTATAGTTGCAGACACATATACAGATGTAGTTGTAGGAGCAACACAATCAGTTGTTAGATGAAATGCACAAAATGAGGGAGCAGTTGAGTGGAAAAGAGGTAGTTCCAGCTGAGGATGAGTCAACAGATTCAGAGTAGTTTTTAATTAATTTGTTCAGTTTCATATGAATTTTTATCTGTTTCTGAATATTTGGTGAATTTTATTATGTTAATGAACAATTTATGATGTTTTAAAATATTTGTTGATGTTAATGAACAATTTGTAATGTTTATGGTTATATTGCTGAAGTTGTTGAAATCTATGTTGTGGAAATCTGTGTTGTTGAGTAATTTTTGCTAATTAGTGCTGGAAATATTTGAAATCTATGTTGGAAATATTTGTAATTGTTTGAAGGTGTGGAAAACTGATTTCTGTCTAGAAAGGTATTTTTTTTTGTTTTGCTACAGTATTCTGGAGGATAACACATCGATACTCCGCCGAAAATGACGATACAATGAATTTCGTTATCATTTTCAGCGCCTTTGTTATGCTAGTATTTCTGGCGAATACTGTGATGGGTACCTCCGTCATTTATGTTTTGGCGTATTTATCGACATTTTTTTCGCTGGCATTTACGGCGGAAATGTATGCCAATAATTCCATCGTATTTAACACCGGAATAAGCTAATTCAAATCGACGTAACTGTCACCCACTTTTCCACCGGTTATGCACCGGAATGTACGTTGGAAAGGGTTCCGTCGTATTATTTGCACCGAAAACGTCTTTCCGACGCGTGCCAAATCGATGTATAAAAATCTGCCAGAAAGTCAACGAAAACGTGTTATTTCTGTCGGATCGGAATTTTAATGTTATCGATGTATTCTGTCCGTCGGTAATGGCGGGTTTTCCTGTAGTGTACCGAGATTTTGCATTACCAGCTAGAAAATCATGAT